CGGGGCGGAGGCGGGGGCGGTGGTGCGCGCGGCCGCGGGGCGCGCAGCTGGGCGCACTTGCGAAACAGCAAATCGCGTTCGCCCAGCTTTCCTGCTGGTGGCTTTCCGATTAATTGGCTTATTACTACTTTAATGTGGCGCCTCGAATAGTTTTAATGATATTTATTATTGACTGACACAAAACATTTGTTAATGCGTTCGAATCTGAGTTCGACATACGTTACATAACTGAATCGAGATGATTCATTATGAAAGAAATACGAAAAAAGTTGAATGATGCTAGACGATCTCTTATGGATGGAATTATGGGAGGGAATGACTGAGAAATATGAAAATGTAAACCAAGTCAAGGTAACAACAGGTTAAATAGAAAATAAATCTGATTCATTACAATTATGTATAATTGTAAAATCATGAATGTACCTTGAGCGTTAACTTCTAATGATCTCGGGCGACAAAAATACCTCGGACCAAAGGCCCCTAGGCTTTTGTCATCGTTTGATCATTGAAATCCTTATAACGCCTTTGGAGCATAAATAACTGATTCATATTTGTTAATTCCAGTTTTCTAGTTCCTAGAAGAGTACCGAAAGAATACCAGGTTTCCCCCGCCCGACAGCCGAGTGAGCTGAGAATCGTTGAGAACGCAGAAAAATGCTGGTCGTCCAGCTGTGAAAAACATAAGATGCGGTAAAAATGATTTAACACGTGAATTTGAATAAACTTAAAATTCGAACATCTTAGGGCACTTACGATTTGTCATGTCGTTCTACTAATACTTTTCTTTTTATCTGATTCTTCGTATGGGTTCCATGCATTTATTATTATTGTTATTATTATTATTATTATTATTATTATTATTATTATTATTATTATTATTATGCATAACTTCATCACTGCTCAGATGTGTATATTTGTCAGACGTTTGTATTTGGATGGAAACTGCAGATGTTTGAGATGGATTCGAATTCGATGTTTGAGAGAAATTGGGCAGAAGACGATTACAATTATTTATAAATTTAAGACAAGCAGTAAGTTAGTAGAACTCTATAATATGGTACATTAATTATGTTTTTTCAGTAATATGTCTCCTTTATAAATTATCATTAATTGATGTATTGAGACTACAAACACTTGTTAATCAATTTTGTAAAATAACTTTTCACCTCTGATCAAAAATTGATATTGTCGAAATCTGAACATAGCGAAATCCCTTACCAGTGTACCCATATATCACTCTTTGTAAGCAGAAATTTTTTTAGAACAGTATACGAGAATGTATGTAAGAGCTGTCGCATGATCGCGACCGTATCAAGCAGTGCGATGTGTCTAGCGGTATCTAGCGGCACTACCGAGAAAGACGCGAAAGGCCGTGAGATATTCCATCGTGAAGACAGCCCCTCACGCGCCACGTTATGAAACCCCACGCAAAAAGAAAGGCGCAAACTATCTTCCCGCCTACACGCAACCCCAACAAACCTTGTGTATAACTCGTTATTAGAGAATAAACAATAATTATTCATTTACCGATTTGTAAGCGTCTGAAAGAGGTATATTTGGCAAGAAAGTATTCTTCAAAACATGCTCAGGACTAGACTAAGCATAATTTCTAAATATCTCTGATTTTAATAACAATTAATGTGATTGAAGAAATGACTATGCAAGCCCACAACGCATATCACGCGCATGCTTTTCAGTAATGGGAACCTCTTTCTATTGCGGGAATATTCGTGTTAGAGGGATTAACTTCACTGATCCTTGAATATTGGATCTTCGTTTATATTAATACTAATCTAAATTTTGCAGAGAAAATTAAAGGGCAAAAAGGTTTAGAACTAAGAAACATGTGAATAATTCGCGCCTTTGCTAAAAAAAGTGACAACTAAAAAATCTTCATTTTTGAGTTGTTACAATGACAGTTTCAGACACGATACTTGACTAGTCGGCAAAAGACTGGTTCTAAAACTATGGCTTGTAGTGGGCGGTTGTGTGATCACCTATTGTGGGCACCTATTTGACTTATCAAGACACTAAAAGTGACATAACTAAAACAAAAGTCAGTTCTTAGGGGATTAATGCTAGAAATAACTATAACGCGATTTAATCCTGTTTTTATATCCATTCTCATTACTGCAGATACATTTATTTGGCTTAGGAATGTATCACTATCGCCACAAACATTTTTCGAGATATATGGAAAAGCTGAGTTGTGTCAGTTTTGTTGCAAGTGTGAGAATTGTTTCTAAAGCAATTCTTTGACACTATTTTCTGGGCTGCATACTTTTTTTAAACTTACGCTTTAAATATAAATTTGAAAAATAACATTACGCAAAATTATGAAACCGCGTGTCATTTGTGAAATTTACAATGCTTGAGATTAGATGCGGTTTTCTGAAATTTCCAGGAAATCTATGATTTTGCCGTAAAATACGGGGGAAGGAAATTCTGTGAAGGACATACGGTTGCGATAATGTATCAGTTCAAGTGAAACCTCTCGAGAGAATCCAATCAATAACATTGCCTGTAGGTACACAACATGGCATTAGATCATGCAACTTC